GACCATCACGCTCCAGGAAGAAAGATTGTCGTCTCGTATATCTGGAACTTTCCATATGTTCTTGTTTGGTCGCGTCAGTACTATATCAGATATGTCAAGGGGCACGCCCAGTCTTGTTAGGCACACATTTTTGCTTTTATCCTCACTTCCTTCCCCAAGGTCCTTTATCATGAGCACTGTTTGGCGTATCTCAAAGTGACTTAAATGGGCTGTTAGCAGCAGGAATATGCGTCGGTTATTCGTTCAGATTTCCGTGCATTGCCTATCAAAGTGTAAAACACGATAGTTGTTTTAATGAAAACTGTTTTTTTTTAAAGTACGCCAAACGGAGCCATGTGTTTGCACGTCTGGCTTTTGCATGTAAATATTCGGCTACATGTGTGCGTACCGCTGAAAATTAATTTCTGTTCACACTTCAGCCCTGTGATTACAATTTGCATTTTTTTCTTTATAACGAACATATTTGACTGCTAGGGCTGCTGTATTACGCACATATCTGCCCAATGGTCATTTATTTTATTATAGGTATCATCCCATGTGAGGTGAAAGTTGGCTCTGAATTTTCTTTCAAGAGCTTAAAATGATGTAAAAACGTGGGCCGAAGGGGTGGCGAGCCCTTCCTATTGGCTGCGTTGACCTAAACTGTGGTCATTGGCGCAGCCGGTCATGGTAGGAGAGGAGCACCGCGGTTAGCCAAGGGTCGCTGCTGGTGGTAAGGCAACAGGGAATCCAATCCTGTCGTAATCGCCGAAACCGAGCTGTCGCATTTATCCGTTAGCTGAGACCCTCAGAGGTCCCTCATCACACACCGGTCCCATTCCTGATGCGGCAGGACTTTTGACCTGGGCATCTGGCACAGGATTGACACAGGGGCTGTCACTGACGCAAAAGAATCCCTTACCGGCGCAGGGAGTCAAATAATGGGCGCCGAGACACCAATTCGGCTTACTGGTACCCTGCTGAAACGGCTGCGAATGGCCCCTACATCCAGTGCTGGGACCTCTGACTGAAACAGGCCGTTGTCTCATCGTGAATGCGAACACTTGCATGGTCCTTTCTCATGCCTCCTGACACTGTCAAGATGGTCCTGAACAACGCAAGATGCCTTTTGGCATTAGGGGTCCTGCTCCTGTTCCTGTTCAGCCAATGTGCCCCTGGCCGGCTTGGTGCCCACTGCCAACACGGGGTCCCCCGTAAAACACTGGTTTGTGAGCCCCTGATCAGTACAGCGTCCCTTCACTGTTTTAGGGGAGCGATCAATGCAAGAGCTCTCTGATTGATATTTGCTGGCCCCGGTCCAGACCCTTCTTGGGAAAAGGCTCCAGGGCGCAGATCGGCTCAGAACCGACTGTTCAACATTCATGGTCTCGGTCAGCTGGCTGACATAGAGATCCTCACTATCCCAGAGACCACCGATCGGTGCGAGAGGTCCTTTGACTGTCGTTTGAGGGTCCGACCTACCGGCGGGTTCTTCGTATGAGCCCCCGGCTTGCCCTTCGAACTTTCCGATCGGACCCTTGCTCGTCGGCCTCTCGGGGCCCAGAGATTCTCTCGTGACCCTCAGGACCTAAGGACCTGAGGCTGATCCAGAGGGGGGGGGGGAGATATGGGATCATGCCCCCTTGGGCCCAAAGTCAGGCGACCAGATGCACTTTTAAAACACAAAATGCAGCAACCTTGGACATCTATGGGCTTCTAGGCGTCCACGACCAGTCGCAAGCAAAAGTGAAGGGCCCGCGAGTAGACGAAAATTATTCTTCACTGATTGAGAAGGTCGTGACTGAGATATTATAAGACTCCTTATGCTCTCCAGAAGCTCTATGCTGGTTCCGGTGGACCTATATGCCCACTTGCAGCGTCAATCTGATCGTTTAGGAGCCTTTCACTTTGCACTTACTTTTTTGCATCTGCTGCGAGGGCCCTGGGCTGTCGCTGGAGCCCTTCCTGCCGGGGTGCTCATGTCAATCAGGGGCATTTCACGGATTTTTGCCGCTCGCCCGAAAGACTATGTACGCTATAGCCAGGGGCCTATATGTTAACCTGCCGGGGTATCCTCGGTTGCTCAGGGGCCGTTCACATTGGTCTCGGTCAGCCTACCGACACACTCGCGATATGCTCATGACCCGTCTGCATTGGTCTAGGGCCCTTCCAATTCTGCCACTTGCTTAAGGCCCTGCACTCTTGTCGGGGGCCCATCTGTTAACCCGTTGGGCACACTCGGTTGTTCGAGCCCCTCCAAATTGGGCCCTGGGTACTTTCGATGGAGGGCCCTACATACTGTCGGGCCCCATCTTTTAATCCACACGGGCACACTGGCTTGTTGGGGGGGGGGGGGGGGGCCGAGCACATAAAATAGTTGAATGTGGGCCCTATGCTCCTGTCGGGGGCCATCTTATGACCTGATCGGGTACATTCGATCTTTTGCGGACTCTCCACGCTGGGTGTTGGATAGTTCTTATTTGAATAGAGTGTCCTACGCTCTTGTCGGGGGGCCTATCTGATAGCATGCTTGGGCGCATTCGATCGTTTGGGGGCGGGAGAGGGGTGTTGGTGGTCATGGTCGGACGATTATCGCGATCGGTTTAGTCGGCTGGTGTCGATCGTCAAGTTTTGCAAGGGTTCTTCCGAATGTAGACGACTAAGAGCTGTATCACCCTTTCTTCCATTTTCCCGTAGCATTTCGTAGCAAAATAACGCAGCTTGCTGCGGCCTGTAAAATTGTATCATCTCTGAATAATGCCAAAACACTCCCACAATTGCGGAAAGTTAGACTATAGTCAACCATAGATATAAATTGTGTAGTTGAAAGCATGCAGCATTAACACAGCAACAACAAAAAGCAAAAGAAAAACTCAAGCAAACATGGACCTACCGCGGAGCTTTGAAAGTGTGACTAGCTCAGTCATGTGCACTACGCTGGACATGATATCGCAGTTTTCGTTTTCTTTGTTTTCTTTTTTACCTGGGAGACAATTAGCAGAAGCCCTCTTCCCGTGCCTTATGGTACCCGTGGAATTGGGTGTCCCTGGAAAATAAAACATGGCTCCCCTAGAACATTTTCCTTAAAAGTATAGCTTTCGGCGCCCCGAAATAAAGGTTTTGTCACACTTTCACCATGAAATTTTGGAGTCCCGTCATGGCACCAAAACCTCATGGACGGCCAAAGTAGGTGGGTGGGATGCCCCCCCCCCCCTTCTGGATCTACCCCGCTGTATAACATTGTTCGATTACAAACAGAACAGTGAGCAATTTCTGGAATTTATGAATACATATATAATGGAATTTATAAATATATATGAATAAATAAATTAAATGAATATATAAATAAACAAATGATAGATAAGTAATGGAATTTCTGGATTTATGGATTGTTGCCATCGAACCATTTAATAAAGATCGTCTTACGCTCCAGCGACAGGTACTTCTCGGAGGTGCCCAACAGCTACCCAAAATCGCTCCTTTCTCACTGCCTCCTGGTATGGGCTAAAAGCGGCACCATTTGTGCGCACGCGCGGTGTTCACTGCGACAGGGAATTGCTGCGGCTTGGTAGTGGTTGGTTTTTCTCCAGCAGGGGTGTCAATTTTTGTAAATTATTTGGGGGCCGAACCTAAAGGCTCGACAACCAACCCCTCACTTTTTTTCTCACCGGATTTAGCCCACTTTATTTTGATTAAACGCAACATATGTTTTTGATCTTTGCATAATTTATAAATTAAAATAAAATTAATTTATAAAGTCTTTAATTTAAGCAGTATAGAAGTCATTCAGGGTTGGATCTAGGGAGCATGCATGGGACGCACGCGTCTATTCTGTTCAGCACGTGAAGGCGCCCCTTTAGAGACCACCTTAGGGCGCCGATGGCGTTCTTCTATGATGGTCATGGGCGGCATGCATTTTGGTTGTGGGGACGGGGACGGGACTAGCCGTGAAGGACTTAGGTCATCCCCACATTTCAGAGCCTCTCACTTTAACCTCACAAACCATTGCGTGTCTTATAGCGCTAGGTATGTGAAGTTCATTGCATCGTTTATCCGCTCAACTGTTGCGATTTGTATCTGGTGGTGAGAGCAACCGTGACTTTTTGTTATGCGAGTGGTGGGAGACGCCACTGCGCAGAAAGAGCAAAGAAGACGACCTTTGTGTTATGATTATTTTTTACCCACGTTTTTTTGTAGTATTCCGGCCAGAAACATTGGGGGGCTAAGCCAACATTGGGGGAGGGGCCCGGCACAACAGGGGGGGGGGGGGAAAGGGCCCTCACAAAAGAATGTAAATCGACACCGGTGTTCCGCAGCAAATAATCTGTCTTGAAACCAAAACAAGATGGAAAATTATTTCATTGCGTATTCGGAAGCTTTGAGACGTCTATGAACATAAAAATAAAACTAACGCCCGCCCGCTGTCTTGTGCTCATCCTCAAGGGACAAGCTCGTGAGAATATGCAGAACTCGAAACATTAAGTGCTGTCAATGTAATCCTTGTTTAGACACATAACGCCGTCTAATCAGTAACACCATGTGTATTGAAGCTCATCCATTAAAAATAATAACATTGAACTCATAATACCGAAAAACTAGAAGCTAAGACCTCTTTTTCTCAAATCATCTCCAACTGATAACTGCAGATTAAAAAGCACGAAGTCCGTGAAGAAATGCGTCTAAGAAATTATGATGAACAAGGCTTGTGGGTTCGCCCCCCCCCCCCCCCCGCTCCAAATAAAAACCCAAAGTTACACCCCTGGCTTTAACCGTCCAAGTTTGGTGGAGGTGCCGCCTTTGCACATCCTTGTATGCTTCCCATTGTAAATAGAGGTACATGTAATGGGAATTAAAAAATCTGCCCGGTTGTGGGTATATTTGATGTCTTATGTCACCCTTCCATCGCTCCTTCTCGGCTATCGTCAATTTGGCGGTGGCGTTCACATTCCCCAAACTCACAAAATTTGCGCAGCTGTGACAGCTGGCGACCGAAAGGTGAATGCTTTGTTTGGCGCAGTTATGTAAATTGTGTGCGTCGGGGGGACGCGGTGGTGGGTTGGTGAGCGCTGAGCGGTATTTCGTTCTGTGAGAAGCTGTTGCAATCAATTCGTGTGTTTTGGTACCTAAGAATCTTCCTGTTTCCTTCATCGCTTATACACCGAACTATCCGAGCCCAAGGCATCAGAGGCCTCGATATGCTGTATGCGAATGCTAAATATTTGCTTATAAGAAATGATTCTTTTGCAGATTCACTTCCACCGAGGATGTGTGGTTTATGAAAGCAAAACTTGCAACATGATTCAATCATTGGCTTTTGCTGTCCTGCAAATTAAACTTGTCATAGTGTTTTGTCACATAGCATCATTAGATTTAATGGACAGTTAATTGTTTGTACTTTTTGTCAACAGTCTGTGGAACTAATATCTTATGTCAGCCCTCATTGCTCTAACAGTGATGTGGTTATGGCACACCGGCTGTGATTGGTGTTGCCACTGCTGCATCTGTCACACAGCATGTTCTTGCCATGCCTGTGATAATTCAGATGTGGCCTGAATGATTCAGGGTTCCAAACTAAGTGCTGGTTCTTTATCCTGGTCTTCCACACCACCTGTTGTTGATGACATTATGTTTAAATGCTGATCCCTGACAGTGCTTCTGCTTTTTAGGCTGGGGTAAGGGGTTCTTCAGATAGAAATGATAAGTTTACAAGACTGTTTTTTGGTTTAATATGTTTTGTAGATGAATAATTATCATTTTGTCCAGGCTGTATGGGCATTAATGTTATTTCTCTCTGTGCTGTTTATTAATGGCATGGATTAGCTTTTGGACAGGGTTTGACAGGGTAAGATATTAAAGGCCTTAAAGGATCCCAGGGCAGTTACATTTCCATTATTGCAACTGTTTTCTTCCCACGTTGTTGGGTACCTATTCCCATTCCCCACTAGACATCAAATCATGCTGACACACAGATGCTGACACATTGGCTCTGTAACCTGAGATTTATGGTGTATTGTGTCTTTAAAAAAATTGTCTTCACTGTTTTGCTTGAAATGCAGAGTTTTGACTCCTTCCTTCTGTAAAGCACTGTTCAGTTTTTTGCAGGTGATATGTTAAAGATGCAGCAGTTGCCCTCAGTGTTGTGTTGGTTATTTAAAACATGATTGTTATGATGGCTAATGCTGTCGTTTTGTAGAATCATGATTCTTGTTGCAGATATAAGAAAAGGATTTGCTAGATATGCCAACGCATTGGTGTTGCACACATTTTCAAGTCTAGATGCTGCCTTATATGGATAGATGCTCACTGATGCATGCTGCATGAGCTCTTGGGCATGCTATCATTTGTTAAGGAAATTGAATCAGTATTCATGGAGGCATGCATGAACAAATTGGGTGTGCTAATCAGATTGAGTCAAACACCAATTCAACCAGCGCAGCAAAGGTGTGGAACCATTCAGTAACTGCCAGGGTGTGCCTGAGAGCATCACAATCAGACAAGCTAAACATGTTGTGCCTTCCCTTAGCTTATGGTGATCAGGAATGTAATCAGCCACTTGGCCTGTCAGTTGATCAGGAAGGTTATCAGCCACTTGGTCTGTTAATTGATCAGGAATGTAATCAGCCACTTGGCCTGTCAATCCCAGGCTCTTTGGGCTCATGGTCAAACTACTGAAACAACATTTCAGGGATGTGAACAGCATGAGACATCTAACATTGTGTCAAACCAGTGTAAATTAAGCCCAGATTTAATTGGCTCAACTGTGGCAGGCGATACCATTGGAGGTGGGGGAGCATACCAATCATTTATGACATTGTGCTGAATGAGTTCAGATGGACAAGGGTCCTGGCTCAAAGGTTTTTCTGTTTTCATTGGTGTCATCTTTGTCACCATTGTCCTAGTTGACACCTCACTTCCTTGACAACATGTGTAACTTGTCACTGAGCATGCTCCAGCCACTCCTGATTCAGCTTGTTGGGTAGGCCTCATATGATGCTGTCATACCCTGAAAACAGGGTTGCCATGAACCATGGTTCTTTACAGCTGTGGCAGCACAAGGTCAGTGCTGGCAAATGGCCATCTCACGCTCGCCAGCATCTGGCTGTGCCTCAAAACCGCTATGGTTGTCTGCACGTGGAACTTGGGCCTGTGGTCCACGAAAATTCCGAGGTTGTTTTTGGTACATACCACTGCGTTTTCGGGCCATTCATTAAGAACGCCAGCTGTGGATTGCAGGCGCCGGTTTGTATTACCTTACACTTGAATGCGTTGAAAGATTGCTGTGGTCAAGTGGTCGAACCAGTGCTCTGGCCACTTGACCAGTACATACAGGTCGATTTGTGAAGGAGACGCAGTCACGAGCCTCGGGACACAACACCACATTGTTATCATCTGTGAACATTTTCATCGCACGTGACACGTAAGCTGGTAAATCGTTTAAGGGGGTGTTTTGCATTTGAAGATATGGAAGCAAGTATCATTGTGATGGCATAATCTTACTGATAACTACTGGTGTGTTGTTTAGTATAAAAAACTGCTCACTACGCCATGATTTCTCTGTATAGTAAATATGATGCTCAAAGATCATTGCTTGATAAAGTCATCGCTCCTTACACAACATTTATTGAGAGCCAGTGGTAATAGGCTTATTTCTCAGAGACAAAACAGGAGAATGGATATATATATATATATATATATATATATATATATATATATATATATAATACAATAATGAAATAATATATCTTAATATATAATAACAAGATATATATAATGAAAAGTATAATAATAATAAAAATCATAAAAGCCTTATTACGACGTCATGGATGCCGGGGTGACCTTGAAATAGTCCCCCAAAAATTGTCTGCGCGTTTTCGCGGGCGTGTAGCTCAGAAACTAGAGGGGTTTAGATTTTAAGATGGATAGGGCTGTGAACTGCACCGAATCTGAACAATCTTCAAGATGGCTAGTTCAGCTCAAAGCCCCATACAAATGTGGAACACTTCCTTTAACGAAAATGATGAACATTGTTGGTCTCAGCACCGATCGTTGAGGGTCTGTACTGAGACGCCGCTGCGGCGTCGGTCCGGTCACTTCGAGCCCTGACACTGCACTGGATGCCTCCGGTTCGTTAGGAAGCCCTGGTCCAGTGCAGGATATAACCTCTCAAACCCTCAGCATGGAGCTCGGAAAGCGGTCCGTTCAGAAGCGTGAATCGAGTGTTGCCGGACCCCGCATTGCATGTCGGGTGTTTGCCGATGCACGCGGCATGAATGCTTGGCTCTCTATGGGAAGCGTGCTGCTCAATTTCGTAACTGCACTGGGGTCTTAATCAATATCATCTAAAGAAACGCAGTCTTTTCGCCCCTGCAAAGTTTTGGTCGCATGCCGTTCTTTAACACTCACCCTGATTCGCCGTTTTCATAACGCAGACTGATAAGCGGGAGGAGGTCAATGCGGCCCCCCTGCTGTTTCCAAGCTAAGAAAGTCAGAGCCTGGGGGAAAATATCAGTGGGTTGGTCTCAACGCGATCTCGCGATTAGTAATGGGCTTTTGTTGCTAGACCAATAATTGGCAACATTATGCCTTTGTCACGGAATTCAAAAATCAAACACATATTCACGAACAGCAGATGTATTCAACCATACATACCCATCTATACCAGGCCATGGTTCGTAGCGACAAAAAAACAAGCATGCTTGTTTTTTGTTTGGTTTATGTATTTTGAGCATATATGTATGATGTATGACTCCGTCTACGTAACAACGTCGGCCCGCGGAATCGTTAGTTTTTTAACATAAGCTTACAGTTTTGAACTTTAAATGTCACTGTTGCAAGTTGCGGAGTTGATGTGCCTCGGTGTTTGAGCTACGAAATCAATTCAGGTGAGTGTATGCCATGTTTAACAGGCGTGCACGTCAGGCCGTGGTCGTGATCGAGGCCACCAGCCCCGGCAGTGCTGCTGAAACAGTGAGAAAATGATCAACTTTGAAGGCCCAGCCTGGTGGTTACGCATTCTAAAAGCCAGTGTTTTCGAACTAGTCATATATTTGCATATGGTTATCTGTAGCAAGAACCACACTTATTGAACATTTGTTAATGTAGGATTATATTGAAACATTTAAATTGCAATCTCTTGGATGTGCTTGAACCTTCTGTAGCAATCAGGATTGAACACATCCAGGTTCCATGTCCTGTTAAATGGATTGCTCCACATTTATCTGGGGATTTGAACTGAAATAGTCATCTTGAGGACCTTCCGATGCTGTTCAAAATCCTGCCTTTCTCGAGACTGGAGCCCCTGTAGTTTCTGAGCTAAACCCCCGCGAAAATGGGGAAAGGTGTGTTAGGGGGAGTGTTTCAAAGTAACTTTGGCATTCATGACGTCATAGTAAGGTCATTCAAATCCTGCCGTTCCGTAATCCATGCGGCGATCAAGGCAAAAGAAAAATCGAAGCGTTCATGTCTGGCATTCGTGAGTGCGTTTTCCAGATATAACGGCCGCCCATTGGCTCGCAATCAATGTTGTGCAAGGTACAATGACTTAATCAAACCATGATGCATTGAGGATTATATTTACTAAACGGAGCATTGTACTGTCTAGAGCAGTCTTTTCCACTTAAAGTATACCAGTAGTTATAAGTGACCTTATTTCATCATATCTGATGCTTGGTTCAGTATCTTCAAATATGACCCGTTCCCTTTAACTTTATAACGGAACATGCCGCGATTGCGAAAAGCTACATGGCAGCGGTCGAAACCGGCCCGGATCCTGGTTGTTCGGCATCGCGGTGGCGTGAGGTTCCCACCAATCGCATCAGCAATATCGCGGGCATTGTCAGCACCGGATGGTGCGGGGAGCGATGTCACGGCCACGGCCACGTGCTCGCGAGGGTGAACTGACCGACCCGTTTTTTTGGTTTTCGTTTGATTAAAGTGCTCCCACCTTTGGGGCATATTTCAAAAACATACTCCAGTGAAACCTCAGGACTAGTCTAATAACGGCACTGGATAGTGTCACTACAGCACCGTCAAGACGTGGTACAGATATCTATTTTGTTTATTTTCGCGCCCAAATTACGCGTGTCATCGCTTAGTAAGAGCTTCCCCACACTCGTCACCACGGTCGTCTGACAGCCACCGTGCGCACCTCCGGTGCGAATAAAAGAACGCTTGTGATTGGCCCGGCGGGGATCATGTCATGCTCCCACTCCCAAAGCCAAAGTGCGCTGCGAAAAAAAAAAACGCTGTGGTAAACGCCAAAGGGGAGAAATCAGTCATACTATAACGTTTCGTTGAATTCGTGTGATAAAAGCTTCATGGTCTCATGCATCTTTGTCTAACTGAAGTGATGCAAACTTTCGTGACATGCATTACACAAACATTTTGACAAATGAGTGCGGTACAAACATTTCAGAACGCACACACTGGAAAAAGCAAGGCAAATTAAATGTTTTACCATCGAAGTGACGAGCAGGGAGTCGAATGAGGTTTCTCCGGCAGGGTCGGTTGCTTCAAATCAAAGTTCATAATTGTCCAGATGGATTTCACGAAAACTAGTATTACTGATCAAATGGTACGCGTCTGATGTGACAATAAATGAAAAGTCAAAAGAGGTGGGATGCTCCCTTTATGGGTTGGTGTCAGATCTCGGCAGCAAGAGCAGATGGGACATGAAGCCGACTGCGTGATGTGTCTGTCGGTGTAGCTGTGACGTGGTGTGAGTGTCTGTCGGTGTAGCTGTGGCGTGGTGGGATTGTCTGTCGGTATAGCTGTGGCGTGGTGTGAGTGTCTGCCGGTATAGTTGTGGCGTGGTGTGAGTATCTGTCGGCGTAACTGTGGCATGGTGTGAGTGTCTGTCGGTATAGCTGTGGCGTGGTGTGAGCGTCTGTCGGTGTAGCTGTGGCGTGGTGTGAGTGTCTGTCGGTATAGCTGTGGCGTGGTGTGAGTGTCTGTCGGTGCGGCTGTGGCGTGGTGTGAGTGTCTGTCGATGTAGCTGTGGTGTGGTGTGAGTGTCTGTCGGTGCAGCTGTGGCGTGGTGTGGCTGCTGGTTGATTCTGGCGCAGAAACTTAAAACATTTTCCGCTTTTCTTTCGAATCGTAATGTTTGTGTTTTAGCCCATTCAACCTCCCTGTTGGTGTAAGTATAAGTTTGCAGTTGTGCACCGTATGTAAACCTAAATGGATTCGTATGTTTGTGATTACAGGGCTACATAGAAGGCACATAGTGTTGCTTTCCGAAGTTCTGAAATGAGAGTACTTTTAGCATGCATGGCTCTTGCAGCCATGCAATGTGAAAGCATCGCGTCGATTGTAAGTGTGACGTACACTGAAGATCACAGGTTTGAAGTTCACTCTGGCGCTGTCGATAATTGGGTTGCCCGAGCTAATCTTACCAGCAAGTACAATGAGACTGGGTAAGTATATATGGTTGAGAAGTGTTCATGAGTCATCAGTTAATGTTGCCAAAGCTTGTTGTGGTCATGGTCTAATTCATATTAAAGTGTGCGATTTGTTGTTTACTCATGCTCCGAATGGCTGTAACAAGGGCTCATCTTTCAAAAGGTAACGGTTTTGTATGTGATCGAACCTCACCGAGTAATGCTCACATTCCCCCGTCAGCCGGCAGCCTCCCCGATCCCGCCCGTTCGCTTACATAACAGGGGACGGTCTTGTACGTGGTCATTACTTAAGACCTTTGCTTTTTATGCTTTCGTTGGGTAACGGTTACCTTTAACGGGCATGCAACGCATAGATTCTATGGGAAATGCTATTAGATCGTCATATTTCTTGCATCTAGAGCATCTGCATTGGGATCTAATCTGAATTGTGATTTGTATGAATGTTTGTTGTGCCGTATAAAAACGTTAAGGTTGTCGAATACTCTATTAGTTTACAACAACAACCTCAGCAATATTTTAGCCCCGTTTCGCACGTATTATTAATTTATGCGTCCATGCAGTCCTTTGTTGTGTAGAATGTCATCTAAAAGAATCACCTGCTCACCAGGTGGGATTTCCTTGAGGTGCAGACCAGCGGTGACTTCCCCGACACTGTTCAGGCCTACGCTGCTGGCCTGGCGGAGGCCAACGTCACCCGCCACATGATTGTCATGCACTGGAATGTGAGTATACTCTCCTAGCGCCACCGTCAGCTGTTGACCTGACGTGGTGCCAGCTATCCGCCTGGCATGTGGTGGTCGTCGAATGGGCTGATCGGCCGACAGCTACACGACCAGGGGTTCGGGACTTTGGACCACCTGTGATTTATTTTGGTTCACTCAAACTCGCCCGAGGGACCATCACGCTGGTAAGCAGCAAGATTTGTGTTGCGGCGGTGGACCGACGAGAGAGGTCACGACCCAGCAGACGCCTGTTGCGGCGGTAGATCGGCGAGGAGGGTCACGACCCAGAGCCTCGGCCATGTGGACGATGAGAAAACCTGAACTGATGGTGCTAGATGCCTTGGGGATCCACACAAATGGGTCAGATCAATGCATCTGAAAGTCCGTCCTCCGTGAAAGCCAAATGGGTTTGCCATGTTGAATGAACGCTCACTTATTTGTCTCGCGCTCACTGTCTCACAAATTGCATTGGCTGACCAAGAGTCTAGCCACCTCTGACAATATCAGTCTACAAAAATAAATTGTAATGGCTTACAGCTATGCTCACTGACCAAAATACTTATAGAAAACCTACAACTATTTTTGCGCGAACTGCGGTGGTGGTGAGCCTGGTTAGACGCCCGTGTAGTTCCCACCGTCCAGTCTCGCTCGGCTTAGGGCGTGGCGTGTTTCGATCAAGACCGATCTCGAAAAAGCTGATGGCACTGGCCACTTCTTGGTCACATACTATCAAGACGTTTTCTGCTCGCCTACTGGCGCTGAGGGGGCCGACAGTGCAGGGACCGCTGACGATTTCCAGGCGGTGCATGTTCATATACCATACAATGTGGATTCGCATTTTTTATTAGCGTTGCTCGACAAAATCTGACATAAATCCCCAAAAACGTCAACAGCACCAAAGCCGTACGAGTGTCTGGTTTGTGCTCGGCTGCTCGTGACCGGCTGCACGCGTTGGCATGCATTTGCTAGTGCGATTGTCCATTTTCTCCCCCGTCAAACGGGTTTGATCTCACATTGCTGCGACGGCGAGATCTGTCGAGGTCTGGCTCCAGTCTGGACTTGCGATGTGCGTCCTTTCAAAATTGGTAAGGATCACGTTCATGCTAATGGAACGCGGAAACTTGCACGTTGTCCACATTGTGGTGCTGCACGAACATCAGGCTTGAGGGTAGATTCTGAAGAACAAAAAGCGTTCCGTGTTGCTAAGAACCGCGCGAAGACGCGATGATTGGTTGCAGAACTGCTGTCTTGAAGGATGTGTGACGATCGGGGCGGGTCACTCAGGAGGAAAGTCGTCTCACTGTGCCAATAGCAGCCGCATGGACGGCAGCCGGTCTCGAAACCACGACATCTCGATTACAAACGAGATTCGACCTGCTTCTGTCGCGGTCACTGCGTTTCCGTTTGTGGTTTTCAATCCGCCATTTGTGGTGTGGTTCGGCACCAGGCAGTGACCCCTGCGTTGGCGCCGGCGAAGGCTGTCGTTAGGCGGCACAGGTGACGACGGGATGCTACATCACTGCGACAGCTGAGCTTTCGTAAGCTGCCTTCGTAGGCAGTTGAGATTATCCTCCTCTTATTCAGTCTCTTTAAAATGTCACGCCTGCCTGGGTTTTACTGAACAAGACTTCATCGATAAGACAGTAGCTGTACGATATTACTGGGAGAAAAACCGGGAGAATGGAGACATAGGTGCGTAGATATTACGGCAAAATGCTTTTATCGAAACGAATAGCTGATGCGAATGTCCACCTATGCTATTTGTTTCGATAAGGACACATTACCGAAATATCAATGCATCTATATCTCCATTCTCCTGGTTTTTCGCCGATGAATAAGGCCATTGCTGCTGTCTTATCTATGTGCATAATGTTCCTTGCAAATGCGCTTGACAACTTGACGAAGAAGACTTCACTATTGGTTATTTCTTGAATACAGAGGTGGGCGATAGCGATCCGGGTTTTCAGCCCGCCGAGTGCGGGCCAGTTGGGTGACACCTGAACTCCCGTGGCAATAGGGAAACGGTGCTTCGGTAGCGTTCTGGCCGTGGGAAGGGCGCAGCTGGACTACGTGTTTGCTCAACGGTGAGCCTGTGGGGTCTGCGAGGGGGGATGCACTGTGCACCATGGGACTGAGTCAGCTGAGGGTAGGTGTGGGACTTTGCACAGGCGCTCACCAAATGAGGAATTTACACTGGGTGCGTGACGCTGATTGATGGGTGAAGATATTTCAGGTTTGGGAAAGCTTATGTCATCACTTACTGGTGGCATTGTGGCAGTTCCTGTAGACGAGAACGAGAAATGCAGCTATTCTGGCTTCCTGAAAAATACTGGTCTTGTGTGCTGGACGGGAAGGAATGGGACGGACGGGAAGGATATGGGACGGAAGTGCTGTTGGGCAACCACGTCCTGTGTCGCAATGTGTGCTCTTTCGTGGCTGCTCGTGTTTCTGTGACGGAAACAGCCGTAGTAGCTAACGATATTGTTATGCACTCGTGTTGGTATGCTTCTTACTGCAAAGCGCTCAGCATAAGTGCGACCTTGTGAGGCGTAGGCAATAACTGCTCCTCCAAATGACAGCTTCAAAACACTCTCCTGTGCATGCTTCCCAGTTGGTCATGCTGACGTCTGGTGCAGTTTCATCTGTACAAACCATTTATTTTGCGTGTTATCGACTGTTGCCTGCACCGCGTGGTGTATGTGGATTTGGCTGTGACAGACCTCCCATGACAGAGGTCACCGCTGGAGCGCCCTCCTCCCTCAGAACACGGTGTCTGGGTTCGGTGTGTGTGGATGGGCCGGTGACAGGCGTCCCATGACAGAGGTCACCGCTCGAGCGCCCTCCTCCCTCTGAGCACGGTGTCTGGGTTCGGTGTGTGTGTGGATTTGGCCGGTGACAGGCGTCCCATGACAGAGGTCACCGCTGGAGCGCCCCCCTCCCTCTGAGCACGGTGTTCGAGTTTGGTTTGTATGTGGATTTGGCCGGTGACGGCAATGGCGGGATCACCACTGGAGCGCCCTCCTTCCTCAGAACACGGTGTCCGGGTACTGCCAGTCGCAGGGACAGGAGATGTGCGACAAGCTCAACGGGTTCATCGAGGCCAATGACAAGTGGGTCCAGTCGATGGTGGAGCAGCACGGCGAGACAGATCCCTACTGGCACCAGGTGGGAACCGTCGTAAATGCCACACGCTCGTTCTTCTGCGCAAAATTCGTCTGCATGGAGTTCCAGAGTCCCTGTGTTTCGTCACGCGGACTGGCTGTGAGGCTCTGGCTTCGAGCACGCGCCACGGCGCCGCCGCGCGCCTGCCAACGGTTCGAACAGCAGCTGGTAGGCGGCGGCGCTGTTCTCGCGGACCGGCGCCCTATGATGCGCCGCCAGATAACATGTGCACGACTCAGGCAGTGTGTTTTAACCGCTCTCTCAAGTGAGTGATGCATGCCTTTGGTGACTGCGATGCACTGACAACAGCTCACTCAGGATTTTCCTAAAAACTGAGTCAATCGGAAATGTACTGGCAACTAACGCACCCAAGATTGTACTGACAACGAAGTCACTCAAGATTGTACTGACAACGGACTCACTCAGGATTTTACGGTGGTAATCGTGTTTTATGGACTGTGTGGTGGGTAGATTTAACTGTGTGTTTGTGTATGTTCTCATTGTTATTTTCCTTTTGTCGTGTGACAAAGGCGACGAAAGCCACTTTGTGTGTATGCCCCAATAAATGGCATGGTATGCAGAGTAAATGTATAAATGGTAAATGATACGCGTGGTGCGCCATCGGTCACGCTACCGCCCCCCTCCCCCCCCCCCCCCCCCCCCCCCCCCGGAGGCTGCCAACTGCTGCGGTGACTGACGAGGACTGGCATGGCGCGCTATCGGTCACGTGACCGCCCCTCGGACGCTGCCAGCTGCCGTGATGACTGATGAGGACTCTGAGAAGAGTGGCAGTAGATCGGATGCCTGTATCTGCATCAATGTTTCGGGAAATTAATGTCGCGATAGCGACATTAATCTCTTTTAAATTAATTAAAAAGCGTTCTTCCTCGAAACGCTCCGTGGAGATCTAGGTTGGTTGAGTTTATAGCGTTTTCTTTTTTTCGCATCCACTTTTACTTCTATCAAGTCCACTTGTGTGACGCGCCTGCCATCCCACAGGTGGACCTGGTGAACCATCAGCTGAAAGGTCTTGAGGACGGCGTGGACCTGAAGCCGACCATTCCGGGAGACCCTGGCGTCCGGTCAGTGACCTGAGGTCGTCCGTACGCCGTTATAGGTCATGTCCTGCTGCGACATCCACCCTGAGCGGGCCCCGCCGGAGGGCCTGCCTCTGATGTCTCCTGCTCACTATCGGGCCGTTGTGTTTGGGTTCCTCATCGTCACGCTGTCGCAGCGTAGCTGTACCTGACGTGCTCAAACACTTGTAGAAGCATGCAGTCATGCGCTGTCTTAATTTAGCGGTAAACATGAGTCAGTCATTCTAGACGGGCGTTCGGTCCGGTGGCCGGACAGTGACGTGCCGACTGCGGCGGGTACGCGGCGGGTGGGCCCACCTCCCAGTCACCACCAGATCGAACCAGCGCGTACCGCGGAACAGTGCCGCCTGCTGTCACCAGAGCGGGCGCTGCTTGTGGTGTCAGCGCTGGCATGCTTTGGTCAACAGCTGGACAGTGAAGCAGCTGCACGCCATTGTGAAAATCCCCAACAGTCAGTGTTGTGATTTGGACACAGCCAGCTCGCACCGGTGGCACGTTCAGATGGGCGGCCGCGTCCGGTCCGGCCCTGGCAGCGGCTGCGGAGCAGGGCTGGCGCTGACCTGGCCCGCGGTCCGCCCGTCACAGCTGGCTCAACCTGGCCGGCGACCTGGAGGACCTGGAGACGGCCCTGAAGGACCCGGCCGACCGGCCCGAGAACATCAAGGCCGACTTCGGCGGCCGCGTGCTGGGAGCCGGCCACTGTTCAGCGCTCATCAAGGTCCTGGCCGACGGCGAGGACCTGTACACATCCCAGGTCACCTGGAACACGTAAGCGTCTGTCCGGAATACCGACCTGGCTGCGTCACTGCTGAGGGAAACCTGTCGAATGAAACGGCTCGCCCAACAGGCTTTTGGATTTGACCCGTTGTCGTCATACACGCCACTAGGTGTGACCAATGGCCCTTTCGCGCAGATGGTCCGTTGTTCTAGCGTGCTTGCTCTATTTATAAATGCCTGCAGCTGCCGAACCGATAATAACCGCTGTAACGGGGCCCCTCGGCTGCAGCGGTGGGGTGGGCGAGACGTGCATCACACTATTAAGCCTAACGAGACGTGCATCACGCTGTCGAGTCTGACGCGCACGGCTCCAACTAGAGTTGCACACACACTCACACCCATGCCCTTCCACCCCAGCCACTGCCCCATCCCCGCCTCGCGCCATCGGAAGCTAACCGTATCGCTGCGGCCGAGTGGCTGACATGGCGCGCCGCTCCAGGTACCAGAGCATGCTGCGGATTCAGAAGCGGTACGTGTTCGGGTACGGTCAGACGGGCGGCGCTGACAAGGCGGCCATCGCCGGCCGCGTCTCGTCGTTCTCCTCGTACCCGGGCACCATCACCTCGCAGGTGAGCCGCCGGCCAGCTCAGGTCGCCGCGCTCGGCGGCGCTGCCTGCCACTCGGCTGCGTCGCCAGCGCAGGCTGACCGGGGAGCCCACTGCCGGCCCGATGCCTGTGTGTGCTCTTGAGTGAGCTGTGGATGAGTCAGGCGCGAAGAGGTACTACCGAGACTCAGCCTGGCTGGCGACGAATAGCAAGGCTGACCGGGGAGCCCACTGCCGGCCCGATGCCTGTGTGTGCTCTTGAGTGAGCTGTGCATGAGTCAGGCGCGAAGAGGTACTACCGAGACTCAGCCTGGCTGGCGACGAATAGCAAGGCTGACCGGGGAGCCCACTGCCGGCCCGATGCCCGTGTGTGCTCTCGAGTGAGCTGTGCATGAGTCAGGCGCGGGGAGGTACTACCGAGACTCAGCCTGGCTGGCGACGAATAGCAAGGCGATGAAAGCAATGTGTTCCGTGCTCCGTAGGACGACTTCTACGTGCTGTCATCGGGTCTGGTCACCCAGGAGACGACCATCGGCAACAACAACAACGACCTGTGGCACTTCATCAAGCCGGAGGGACAGGTGAGCAATGCTCTGCTGCTTCTGCAAAAACACCGGTCTCTGCTCGTGTCCTCTGATCGGTTTAGAGACTTTGCATCTGTGTTGTCGATATTTTGTGCATGTTTTAAGTTAAAGAGGGCGTAAATACTGCAGTTCCGGATAGTCAAACGAGGTCAGTCTGGACGTATTGACCTGCGTGCACAACTGCTCCGGGGTCCTAAACTGAGTGTCGCCTAGCGAGTGGGACCATTGGGTGTATAACTCGATAGGTCGGTGGCCGGCCGCAGCCAAAGGCCACGTCCGCGACCGTATGCCAACGCGACGGGAGAGCGGAATGGAATGCCGGGAGGGGGGGGGGGGGGGGAGGTCGCAGGTGGTGACCGGTCGCCACCGCCTGCCGCCAGGTGTTGGAGTGGGTCCGCGCCGCGGTGGCCAACAACCTGGCCACCGACGGCCAGGAGTGGACGTCCACCTTCTCGCGTTACAACAGCGGCACCTATAACAACCAGTGGATGGTGGTCGACTACAAACGCTTCAAGCGGGGAGACACAAGCCTGAGGCCGGGCGTGCTGTGGGTGCTGGAGCAGATCCCAGGCCACATCATGGCCGACGACGTCACCCACGTGCTGCAGCGGCAGCAGTACTGGCCCAGCTACAACAGCCCCTTCTTCCCCGCCATCTTCAACATGTCTGGCAACCCGGCGCTGGTGGCCAAGTTCGGCGACTGGTTCAGCTACGAGCGCACGCCACGGGCGCTGATCTTCCGCCGCGACCAGGCGGCCGTCACAGACGTCGGTGGCATGATGCGCCTGATGCGCTACAACGACTTCAAGCACGACCCGCTGTCGGCCTGCGACTGCCAGCCGCCGTACTCGGCCGAGAACGGCATCTCGGCCCGCTGCGACCTGAACCCGGCCGACGGCACCTACCCGTTCGGCGCGCTGGGGCACCGCTCGCACGGCGCCACCGATATGAAGCTGACTACCACCAAGCTGGTGAGTGGCGCGACGAGCCGGCTGTGCACGGGGCTGGGGTCCGCACCCGCCGCCAATGGCACGCACCCGCCGTCGGTGGCACGCACCTGCCGTCGGTGGCACGCACCCGCCGCCGATGGCACGCACCTGCCACCGGCGTCACGCACCCGCCGCCGATGGCACGCACCCGCCGCCAATGGCACGCACCCGCCGCTGCGTCAGGTGGGCCCAGGCTGTGACGGCTCTCGAGCGAGGATTTCTCCCCCCGATGGCTGGTTTGGCGGCTGTGTGGTCACTGGCGGGGCTCGGATTCGGTGCCGCTTTTTAAGCCTTGACGTGGGATCTAGACGGAGCGAGAAGAGTCCGCGTCGCCGCGCCTATAGGTCAGCCTATGGGGCGAGGTCGGCGGGGTGATCTGACCTGGCAAATCGGCCTGATCTCTCGTTGCGCATGCGCCGAGGGTGCGGTCTACGTCGCACGCCTGCTCAGAGAGCTGTCTTATGAATCTAGTTGTTCGTTCCTTCCTTCATTTTGCAGCTATTGTAAGGAGCGTCGAGGCCGAGACCGGGATGTCTGGGTCACGTCATTTGGACTATATTAAGTCCGAAATCCCGCTATTTCGCCTCGCTATCCTCCTATTCAACAATGTCTGAGCGTGGCATCAACGCAATATGACCAGTGCTGCAGGGTGCGTGGTCGCTGCTCCGGTACAACATGGCCGGTGCTGCTGGGTGCGTGGCCGCTGTTCCGGTACAATATGGCCGATGCTGCTGGGTGCGTGGTCGCTGCTCCGGTACAATATAACCGATGCTGCTGGGTGCGTGGTCGCTGCTCCGGTACAATATGACCGGTGCTGCTGGGTGCGTGGTCGCTGTTCCGGTGCAACATGACCGGTGCTGCTCGTGGTCGCTGCTCCGGTACAATATGGCCGGTGCTGCTGGGTACGTAGTTGCGGCTCCGGTACAATATGACCGGTGCTGCTGGGTGCGTGGTCGCTGCTACGGTACAACGTGACCGGTGCTGCTGGGTGCGTGGTCGCTGCTCCGGTACAATATGACCGGCGCTGCTGGGTGCGTGGTCGCTGCTCTGGTACCGGCGATGCCGTCTCGCCATTGTGCTGAGCCACACTGATTGTGGTTGATAACCAAAAGCGTAAGACGGCACCGTCGATGATGAATTATTTTGTTCGTTGCCTGTCTGGACAGTTGCTGGCGCCCTCTTGAGGAAGGCCATGACCGTCGCTGTTGTTGTGCCGTTGTTGTTTGGCGATGTGGGGCACAGGCTTTCCTATGTGCTTGGTCGTTGCTTCTGTCGCTCGTCTCTGCACCCTGCGCATCTCAGATTGCGTACTCGGCAGGAGACCCTCTGCACATTCTCGCTATACAGGCCCATTCAAAGCGCCCCCCCCCCCCCCCCCCCTCCTACCCGCCCAGTTACGCCAGGCGGAGCTGGACGGAGGGGCCTATAGAAAATAATTGTATGCTTAATCCTATGTCCTTCAGAACTCCCACCTGACAAACATGAAATCGCAGTTTTATAAAGCCTCAACAGATGGCTCGCAGCATCGACCAGTTGGTTTAGGCGCCAAACATTTAGCAAAGGCTCGTCGGCAAAGTTAGCTGCTGCGGTGCCGTTCCCAGCGTTCTTTCGTGTTAAGTTGACTACACTGCACGGAGATCGCAGCCAATCCAGGCCTTCAATTGAAATAGAAGCCATGCCCAGTGACACGGTTTTGGCAGGTGGCACGATCCATCAGCGGGGGTGTCGCGCTAACGGTCGTCGGGTCTTGCAGGTACCTGGCATGGAGTTCATCTCCATCGCCGGCCCCACCTACGACCAGCAGCCGCCGTTCCAGTGGAGCAAGGCGGACTTCGCCGCCACTACGCCGCACCAGGGTCACCCAGATCTGTTCAAGTTCGAGCCGATTCAGTGGCGCTGGCAGTGGAAGTAACTGGCGGCACAGACGCCACCGGTGCCGTGAGGCTGCAGAATTTCACCTCCAATCGGCATCAAATCGACGGGTGCCATGCTAATCCTCAGATACTGTACTTAAGCACATGACAGAATGGGCTTTCGTGATGTGCCAAGCATTTATACTCCTGAAAAACGATGGGATACGCGAGCTTATAGGGATCTAGTACAATTATGTGGGTATGTTGCTAATGGATTCACCGGGTACTCGATTGCGTAAGGGCTGTGTAATTTTTGACGAATATTTACCTGAGCTTAATGCACGGGCTCGAGTGTATCGCGTAGCACAGATTGTAACGCGATTAATCGTGTATAATCAGCGGAATCAGTCGGACGTTCAATACAACGAATCACGTGAGCAGCGTTTTGAAGTCGTTCTCGATGGCTTTCCACGGGTCGTAGCTCAGCAGCAGGTCGGTGCTGTCGACGTCCTCGGCGCCGACCCGGTGCGAGCAGAGCGCTGGCCGTCGCCCGAGGGGCTCGCCGGCGGCGCTGGCCGCCGACAGGTGGCCGCACGAGCGGGCCGGCGCGGCACCGGGCGGCGGCGGGCTGGCCAGCGGCCGGTACGGCCGGTCCACGCTGTGCAGGGACAGCTGCCCTGGACTGTCCCATTGGGAGCGGCTGCTGGAGCAAGCCGAGCGCGGCGAGCTGCCGCCGACCAGCCCCTGCTGCCGCTCCCAGCTGCGCTGCGTCACGCCCTCGTCGGCCGCCGCCGCCGCTCCTGTGTACTGCCGGATCCGAACGCTGAGCTCGCCGGCGCTGGGCGGCGCGCTGCTGGCGCCATGGCGCGGCTCCAGCTCGCTGGCGCTCGGCGCCGACAGCTGGGCGTCGGGCGCCATGTCGCCGTACGGCTGGGTCCGCTCCCCGAGCTCGGTGTCGGCGCGCTGTGTGATGCGATCGCTCAGCTCGGCGCGTCGGAAAAACTCAGCCATCTGGCTGAGCAACCGGTTCGACTCGGTCAACGTGTTCAGGATGCACCGCGAGGTGCCAGGCGCGCGCGGCGAGCGCGGACGGCCAGGCGGCGGCGGCGGGCAGGCGGCGTCCGTCTGCACGGCCGCCTCCGCCGCGGCGCCGGCCAGCCGCGGGGTCGTCTGACACGCAGTGCTGCTGGTGCCGGCTGGCCCGGACCTAGCCGTCTCGGCGGCGGCGAGCCTCGGCTGACCGTCGCCGCTGTCGCGCCGGCCGTGGCGGCCCGAACATCTCCTCCAGCACGCGGCGCACGAGTCCGGCGGCGGCGTCAACGTCGCGCGGCGCCTGGAGCTGAGTGTCGCGCCGTTCGGGTGAGGTGGTGCTGGAGGAGCCGGCATGCCGCTCCGGCTGACCGTCGGCGGCCCGCTGTCGGCGCCGTGGCCGTGACCGGTGCACCTGGCGTAGCCCCTGGGCGTCGAAGACGAATTCCTGCGCCGGCTCGTCGGAGGGGTTCGAGTCTTGTGCGGACGCCACGTGGTGCGGGTGGGACGACACGTTGATGCGGATCTTGCGCCGCACGGGCGGCTGGAGCACTTCGATTACGCGCGGCGGCTCCTCCCGCTGGCGACAGCACTTCTCCACGATCTCGGGCAGCTTCGCGATAAGCCATTTGTTGTAGTCGCTGGCTTCCCCGTCGGCCATGTCGATGTGCAGCTCCTCCGATACCTCTCGGTCGTCGGTGTCGGCGGGGCCGCGCGCCGACGCTGTCCGCGCGGCTCTGTGGGCCTCGGGCGCCGGTCCCACGGTCAGACTCCGACCGGGAAGCAGCTGGCGGATCTGCGAGGCCGCCTCGCCACCACGCCGGAGCCGCCGGCGCGGCCGCTTACTCATGTAGGGGCTGACACTGCCACTCTTCATGGAAACGGGTTGGCTGCTTGCTGTAAGTGCCTCGGGGTAGCGATAGATGAAGTCCCGCCGGTAGGTGGTTTGGTACGTCTCATCCGCGTCCCGAACCCTCGCTGCCATTCAGCGCAAGTTCAAATTAAGAATGCAAGCTCATCGTTTGATTTGTAGACCATCTGGCAGTACAAGGTATCTACGCAGTCACACATTAAATTTCTAGTCTATCGCGAGGTAGAGGAGCTGCCAATTGTTGGAAGTGGTACAACCTGCCCAAGGTCAAATGAATAGGGCGCTGTTCTGAGGTTATAGGCGGTTGCTGTCTGCGTCAATGCACCGAGCCGAAAAGCCCACGAGGCATATCTGGGCTTCTTAACGTGTTTCACGTTTAAGCCTATTTACGTCGGGTTTTTCGCAGCCTCGTGACTCTATTCCTGACCCTCCGCCCCGCGTGGTAAGCCAACTAGTATCGATTTGTCGCCTGCGTCGTTGGCGTCGTAGGTCACTGATCTCGGCCAGTCACAGGTCGCGCCGCTACCGCTCGACGGCGTCAGAGGCGGGGAAGCGCAGCCGACGAGAAAAGATGCCTCAGCAAATCCACGTGATGTGGGGACCGGGCCAGCCGCCAAGCTCTCTCAGTCGGATACATGGATTGGGATCAGAGCCACCCTGTTTTGTGAAGTTGGTAGCTATACCGTTTTCAGCAATGGTAATGTGAGCTTCAGACCTGTATCACATCGATTTTGTATTCAAGCAATTCCGACTGCTTCTGTGGGAACGTCTTCGTCGATACGAAATCTGGTTGGCACAGTCAAACAACACAATCAATTGAACAATAGAGCAATTCATAACGCACCACGATGTGCGATGACGGGTATGGCGGGATGTACACGTGCAACAGTTGAAACATACCTGGGTGACATGAAGACAGTAGAAGTGAACCTATCGCGATTGTCTCCTGCAACAGCTTTCGGATTTCTAGATGAACATCCTGATTCCTCACATGTCTTACCATACTTAACATACCTTACCTTACATACCTTCTTACCTCACTTCTCACACCGCGCTAAAAATGCATATTTATTTCCGCAGCGATCTATTTCAGTGAAAGGTCATCATCCTCGGCAAAAAACCTGCGAATCACCACGACTATTGTTTGTGTTCATTTGTTGATTTAGCACATGGACATTCCGCAGTCAATATTTAGGACATAAACATTCCGCAGTCAAAAACCCAATTACAGAAGCGGTCCAGTTTTAGAAACAATAAACATACGACGCACTCAAACGAAAAAACCTAACCAACACCACACACACACCACACACACACACCACACACACCACACACACCACACACACGCACACACAACACACACACAACGCACACACACACACACACACACACACCACACCACGCACACACACACACACAACCACACAACACACACACACACACACACACACACACACCCACCACCACACACACACACCACACCCACACACACACACACCACACACACACACACACACCACACACACCCACACACAACACACACACACACACACACACCCACACCCCACCACAACACACACCACACCCACACACACACCACACACCCAGCACACACCCACCCACCCACACACACCACACACACACCACCCCACACCCACACCCCACACACACACACCACCACACCCACACCCACACACACACCACACACACACACACCACACCACACACCACACACACACACACCACCACACACACACCACACACACACCCACACACACCACACCACCACACACACACACACACACCACACACACACACACACCCACCACCACACACACACACACACACACACACACCACACAACCACACCACACACACACACACACACACACACACACACACACACACACACACACACACAACACCACACACACACACACAACACACACACACACACACACACACAAACACACCACACCACACACACACACACACACACACACACACACACACACACACACACACCCACACACCACCCACACCACACACCACACACACACCACACACACACACACACACACACACACACACACACACACACACACACACACACACACACACACCACACAACACACACCACACACACACACCACACACACACACACACACACACACACCACACACACACACACACACCACACACACACACACACACACACACACACACTACACACACACCACACACCACAACCACACACCACACACACACACACACACACACCACACACACACACACAACACACACACACACACACACACACACACACACACACACACACACACACACACACACACACACACACACACACACACACACACACACACACACACACACCCACACACACACACACACACCACAACACACACACAACACACACACACACACAACACACACACACACACACACACACACACCACACACACACACACCACACACACACACACACACCCACACACACACACACACACACACACACACACACACACACACACACACACAACCACACAACACACACCCACACACACACACACCACACACACACACACACACACCACACACACACACACACACCACACCACACACCACACACACACACACACACACACACACACACACACACACACACACACACACACACACACA